ATGGGGAGCACCGCTGACTGGCTTGCTCCCAGGCTCATGGGGAGCACCGCCGACTGGCTTGCTCCCAGGCTCATGGGGAGCACCGCCGACTGGCTTGTTCCCAGGCTCATGGGGAGCACCGCTGACTGGCTTGTTCCCAGGCTCATGGGGAGCACTGCCGACTGGCTTGTTCCCAGGCTCATGGGGAGCTCTGCCGACTGGCTTGTTCCCAGGCTCATGGGGAGCACTGCTGACTGGCTTGTTCCCAGGCTCATGGGGAGCACTGCTGACTGGATGCTCCCAGGCTCAGGTTCTGCCTTTCTCATACAGCCCAGGTCCCCCTGTCCAGCGATGGTACAGTGGGCTCTGCCCTGCTTCTTCATCAGAGAACAATCACAAAACCACCCCACAGACATTCCTATGTGCCAGTCTGATGGAGACAGTTCCTCCCTCGATGTTCGTTCTCTCTTCCCAGTGTGGTTAGCTGATAGCAGTGGGGTAGTAGACATTTCATTTTAGTGTGTTTGCTTTGTTTCTGAGACAGAGTCTCACTGTGTAGCCCTGGCTGGCCTGGAACTCACTTTGCAGACCAGAGATCTGCCTGCTTCTGCCTCCCAAGTGTTGGGACTAAAGACCTGCACCCTCACCCAGGTTTCAGTCTGGTTTTAGTAGATGGATTTTGCCGTATTGTCCAGGCTGGAAGGATCTTTCTGCCTCAGACTCCCACCTCAGGCTTCCAGAGAGCTGGGATGGCAGACCTATGTCACCACACAGTACTGAAGCTTTAGCCGCAGGAGCTGGGGATGTGGCTCAGTTCTCAAAGTGTTTGCCTGCCGTGCATGGAATGTTGGGGTTCGTCCAAGCAGTGCGTGAACCAAGCATAGTGCACACACTTCCAGCACTTGAGAGATAGGTGCTGGAGGACCAGAAGTTCAAGGCCATCCACTGCTACTTTTCAAGTTTGTGGGTCCGCCTGGGATACTTGACTCCATCTCAATTTTTTTTTTTTTTTTTTTTTTTTTTTTTTAGCAAGTTTTAATTTTAAGCTGGATTTTTGGGAACAAGTGAGATTGCCTAGGGGGAAAGCAATTTCCGAAGCCTGAGGAGCAAGTTTGATCCCTGGAGCCTCAGTTAAGGTGGAAGGCAGAGAGCCACCAAAGAAAGTTGCCCTCCGCCCCCCCCCCCCCAGGAACACCACGTGGGGGTGCAAAGCACATACCCATTTACCTATTGGTAGCCAAAGTTAACAATTAGTTGGATGCTTTTTAAGGGCCGGGCCGGTGTGTTTACAGTGTGTTTACGATCTGGTTTGTCGGCAGAGCTCTGGGCATGAGTGACAGCTTGTTCAAGAGGCTGGAGCAGAAGGAGAGTGCTGTTGTGCAGCTGACCGTGCAGTACCGAATGAACAGGTATGTGCAGCCTGCCAGCCCTGGGGGCCCCGGGGATTCCGGGGGCCCGGCTGCCATGTCCCCATCTCCATCCAAACCGAGCTGGTGTTCTCTGATCCTTCCAGGAAGATTATGTCCTTGAGTAACAAGCTCACATACGAAGGGAAACTGGAGTGCGGATCAGACAGAGTGGCCAACGCAGTGATAACCCTGCCCAACCTCAAGGAAGTCAAGCTGAGCCTGGAGTTTTATGCTGATTATTCTGATAACCCCTGGCTGGCGGGAGCATTTGAGCCAGACAATCCCGTTTGTTTCCTTAATACAGATAAGGTAAGACGAGAGTGAGGGAATTTTTCAATTTTTTTTAAATACTTGTCCTAGTATTTAAATTTCTCAGCTTGCTGTACCTTTTTGAGCTGATTGCTTAGAACCAAGTTTAGTACATACCTCACCTCAGCGCAGCATGACAGTCCTGTCTGTCTGTCCTTCTGGTTCTCACCTGGGCAGCCTCCGACTCTGAGATCCGTGATCCTTGCCTGTGCCTCACAAGCTACTCAAGGAGTGTGTTACTGCACCTGCTGGCTCCAGTCTCTTGGGGTCTTTATTCTACATGGGTTAACTTGAATGTCAGGGTTAACTTGAAGTTGAGGTGTGGTGTTAGGGGGATCAGAAGTTCCAGATCACCAGTGGGTGTAGTGTCAGGCCATAGTGGGATTCCTGAGACGCTTCAAACAAACAAACATTTTTTTTTTTTAAAAAAAACCAACATATGTATAAGATGAAGGCTGTGTGAGAAAAATGTGGGCAGATCACTCCTTGGAGGATTCTTTCAGGCATGGTGGGACTTTTCTGCTGCATTATTTGAGTAAAAGGCACCACGATACACAGTGTTGGGGCTGGAGAGGCTCAGTAGTTAAGAGCACTGGCTGCTCTTCCAGAGGACCGGGTTCGATTCTCAGCAACCACGTGACAGCTCACAATTGTCTCATGCCCCCTCTTGACCTTTGTGAATACCAGGTAAACACATGACACACATTCATACATGGAGGCAAACACCCATACGTTTAAAAAAAAAAAAGATGGGGCCATCTTTCCTGGCTGTGACTTCATGAAACACAACAGAGAGACGTGTGAGAGCCAGCCAGAGCTGTAGTGTGCTTATTATGAGTTATCATGTGTTTTCTGGAAATAAGCTCTGTGCCTATGCATGTTGAGTGCATGTGTGTGGTGTGAGTGTGTGTGTCTGTGCATGTGTGTCTTTGTGTGTGTGCTCATGCTCCCCCCACCATGTGCATGACTGTGTTCCATTTATCTTTAAACCTAGTAGTCAGGGCTTTGGCCTCCTGCTGCTTGAACCTGACAGATGGCATCACTGACTCACGTTTCTTTGCTTAGGTCCCAGCGCCAGAACAAATTGAAAATGGTGGCGTGAGCAATGTCACGGAAGCCAGGCTCATCGTCTTCCTAACCTCAGCTTTTATAAAGGTAAGTTAGGGGTCTCCAGGCTAGTCGCTATGCACGCGGAGTAATTATTGACTGTTTCCTTAAACATCCTCAGACTCTAAGGAGCAGAAGATCTGGCCTTCAAACTTGTTCATTGAGATAAGGAGGGCCAGGGTCTGGAGACATGGCTCAGTGGTTGAGGGCTGATATAGGAAGAACTGGAATTCCGTTTCTGTCATCCGTGTTAGACACTTCACAACCAACTCTAACCCCAACTCCCAGGATCCAAAACCCAAATCTTAAGACTCTAAAAGCTAAAGCCGGGCGGTGGTGGCGCACGCCTTTAATCCCAGCACTTGGGAGGCAGAGGCAGGCAGATTTCTGAGTTCGAGGCCAGCCTGGTCTACAGAGAGAGTTCCAGGACTGCCAGGGCTACACAGAGAAACCCTGTCTCGAAAAACCAAAAAAAAAAAAAAAAGACTCTAAAAGCTATTTTGTGACAGGGTCTCTCTCTCTCTCTCTACATATCTCTGGCTCTCCTGTAGCCCAGGCTGGCCTAGAACTCATAGAGATCTACCTCCCTCTGCCACCAGGCACAGTGACATGCAATTCTTTGTTTTGGTAGCAATTGAAGTTTCCCTTTAGTGTCACTGTGTAGCATTCTGAGTATGTAGGGTCATTGGAACCTTTGTAGGGTGTGGTTCTGATGCTCTAATTGGAAAGGAACACTGAAGGTCCCCTCCTCCAATTGGTGATCAAATCAATAAAGATGATAGGAGCCAGTGGCTGGGCAGAAGAGGAGGGGCTTCCAGTTTTCTGCAGGCTAGCAGACTCGGGAGGAAAAAGATTCTCCATGCTTCAGAGGGGGAGAAAGAGCCACCAGCCATGTGAGATCTTGGGCGGAGTTGTCTTTGGCCACTTCCTCAGCTGGGCCTGGGGTGGTAGCAGGTGGGAGACTTAAGTGCGTTTAGTTTAAACGGGACTAAGCTGAGGGCAGATTTAGGTGCTGAGCTAAGACTTGCAGTAACTGAGCAGAGGGCAGAGTGACAGGTGTTGAGCTGGGAGTGAAGAGAGGGCAGGCTAGCCGACAGAGGCTTAGAAGAGCCCGGCCATTGAGCTAAAGCTTGTTTAAAATAAGTTAAAGTGTGAGTGTTTCATATGTGGATCGGGGTAGCTCAGTCCGCCCGGAGCTTAAAGAAACTACAAACCTTAACTGTGAGTGCTACAGCAGAAAGTTGAAAGGCTGGGAGAGAACAGGGTGGATAAAAGGACTTGTCTCTGCCCTGCTCAAGGATCTGAGTTCAAGTCCCCAGCACCCATGTAAATGTCAGGCGTGTGTGATGGCTTGCCTGTAAGGTCAGAACTCTGGCCTTTACATCCACGGGCAAACCCCCCACATACAGGCACCCAAACACACTCAAACACGCTACAAACCATACATCTGCAAAAGGTGAAAACTTACAACGTTTTACAAGTTAGGGCAAAAAAAATGTAAAGATTGAGCAACAGACAATAAAGCTGAAAGAACTGAGAAACCAGGATGCGGCACTGAAATCCTGTTTGTCTCCCACGCAGGCAGGCTGCAGCCCCTCAGATATCGGCGTCATTGCACCGTACCGGCAGCAGCTGCGGGTCATCAGCGACCTACTGGCCCGGTCTTCTGTTGGGATGGTTGAGGTTAACACAGTAGACAAATACCAGGGAAGGGACAAGAGTCTCATCCTGGTGTCCTTTGTTAGGAGCAATGAGGATGGAACCGTAAGTTGACTGTCGGCTACTGATCCATCTGGGCAGTCTTCTCCCTCCCTCCCTTCCGGCCTCACATCATCAGCGCTAAAATCCAAGGCCTCGGGTCTCAGTGTTCGCCAGGAGAGCACCTCACCAGCAGAGCTACACTGTAGCTCTTTCTTAAAAAGTTTTTAGACATATATATATGTGTATATATATACATGTATGTGTATATATGTATTATATATGTATAATTCATATATATTTATATGAATGAGTGCTTTGCATGCATGTGTTGTGTGCCATGTTAGTGAGTGCCTGGTGTCATTGGAAGCCGGAAGAGGGTGTCAGATCCCCTGGAACTGAGGTCATGGATGGGTGTGAGATACCGTGTGGGTGCTGGGAATTGAACCTCAGTTCTCTGGGAGAGCATCAAGTACCCTAATCTACTAGGCCGTCTCTCCAGCCTCCCTCCCTCCCTAGTCTCTCTTGCCAGGTGTGTGGGATTGGAAGGCAGATGGCTCAGTGGGTAAAAGCATTTGACTCTGGGATTTTGGGGGGTCGGGGTGAGACAGTTTCTCTGCGTAGCTCACTCTGTAGGCCAGGCTAGCCTTGAATTCAAAGATTTGTTTGCCTCTGCCTCCTGAGTGCTGGGATTAAAGGCATGCACCACCACTTCCCAGAACATTCGACTCTCTATGAGTACACTGTCGCTGTCTTCAGACACACACCAGATCAGATCCCATTACAGATGGTTGCGAGCCACCATGTGGTTGCTGGGAATTGAACTCGGGACCTCTGGTAGAGCAGTCAGTGCTCTTAACCGCTAAGCCATCTCTCCAGCCCCACATTTGACTCTTTAAGTCCAGTGACCCGAGCTTGATCCCCAGAAGCCACATTGTAGGAGAGAACTGAGTCCCCAAAGTTCTCTGACCTACCTCACTCATGTGCTGTTGCACCTGTGCGCTGACATACACGATAGTCACGGCAAATATAAACCTGATCAGAACAGAGTCAGGAAGATACCCACATGGTAACAGGCTGTGCCTCACAAGTGTGAGACTGAGTTCAGATTCCATATAAAAAGCTGGTGTGGTCATGGACTCCTGTAATCCCAGTGAAGGCGTCATAGAGATAGAAACACGAGGATCTCCAGAAGCCTGTAGGCTAGCCAGCCTGGCCTGTGGTGACATTCTGGCCCAATGAGAGACCCTATCTCAAACAAAAAAGATATACCTGAGGAAGGGACCTAAAGTTGTCCTCTGACCTCCATACACATGGACCCAGCACCTCCCTACCTCTCAACTTTCACACACGCACACACATGCACACACATACACACACACACACGTAGAAATAAAACAAACTGGGCACCAGGAGACAGGCAGGAGAATCTCTGAGTTCCAGGCCAGCCAGGGCTTCTTATGAGGCCCTGTCTCAAAACAAACAAAACCATTTTAACTTGTCTTTTGTTGTTCGTTTGTTTTGCGGCAGCATGTTCTGTAGCCTAGACCTGTCTCCAGCTCACTTTGTAACCGACTCCTGACACAGCCCTCCCATGTGTACCACTTAGAAGCTGGGATTGCAGCTGTCTGCCCCCATGCCTGGCCATTTTAACCATTTGTATGTGTTTAGCTCAGTACTGTGAGACAAGGCTGGTCAAAGGAGGCATTAGAAACCTTTTTATCGCCGGGCGGTGGTGGTGCATGCCTTTAATCCCAGCACTTGGGAGGCAGAGGCAGGTGGATTTCTGAGTTTGAGGCCAGCCTGGTCTACCGAGTGAGTTCCAGGACAGCCAGGGCTACACAGAGAAACCCTGTCTCAAAAAAAAAAAAAAAAAAAAAGAAACCTTTTTGTCTTGTGAACTCCACTCTTTACCCTGGTAACCACTGTTCTTCTGTCCCTGAATTCTTATAATTATGTGTAACTGGCTTATTGCACTTGAGTTGATTCATAATATAGGATGCATCAGGATTTTGTCTTTTTTTTTTTAAGATTCTTTCTTTCTTTCTTTCTTTATTTATTTATTTTATGTGAAGAGGATATCAGATCCAATTACAGATGGTTGTGAGCCACCATGTGGTTGCTGGGAATTGAACTCAGGACCTCTGGAAGAGCAGCCAGTGCTCTTAACCCCTGAGCCATCTCTCTAGTCCCAGAATTTTGTCTTTAAGGCTGAAGTATATGCTGGATGCTGGTGGTACACCACTTTAATCTTAGCACTGAGAGGCAGAGGCAAGCGGATCTCCAAGTTCGAGGCCAGCCTGGTCTTCAGAGTGAGTTCCCGGATAGCCAGGGCTACACAGAGAAACCCTGTCTGGAAAAACAAACAAGAGAATCATGTTCTGTCACCCATGCAATCATATTTGACTTCTCTGCTCATCTCAGTGTGTGTTTTGCCACATTTGGGGCATTTTTCTTTTTAAAGAGTACTCTCAAGTTCACAAACACTGTCAGGTTTTTGTTTTGTTTACATTCTTTTTTTTTCACTCTTTTCCTTTTTAAAAAGAATATTTTTTTGCATGAATGTTTTGCCTGCATGTATGTCTGTGTGCCGCGTGCATGCCTAGAGCCTCAGGAGGCCAGAAGAAGAGGGCATTGGGTACCTTGGAACTGAAGTTTTGGTTCCATCCTGTGAGTGCTGAGATTCGAACCAGGTCCTCTGGATGAGCAGCCAGTGCTGCTCACTGAGCCACAAGACCATTTTTAAACTATACAATACACCCATATGAGTTTTGAAACACACCCAGCAAAGCATCTGCTTCCTTACCCGGTTCCTCAGTACTTCCTTCTTACGGTCCAGATAATGTCGATTCTTGTTTGTGTGACTTATTAGATTATGTACTTGCCATTCTGGACTTTGATTTTACACAGAACATTGGATCATGCCTATGACAAAGGCTGAAACAGGAAAAGCTGGAGTTGGAGGTTAGTCTGGGCTACATAGCACACTGCCTCAGGAAACAAATAACAAAGCCACTGTGGTGGCCCAGGCCTGTAATCCTAGTATCTGGAAATTGGAGGCTGATCAGGAGTTCAAGGCCAGCCTTGACTGTATTGCAAGTTTGAGCCCAGTCTGGGTGAGCTACAAGAAAATCCTGTCTGGAAAAAAATTAAAAAAACAATAAAAAAAAAATACTGAAATCCTTTAAGGTAAACTGTGTTATAACAAGTTTAGATATACAGCATGACTGAAACAACTGGAAATGTCCTGTTTTCCCAGCTTGGCGAGCTCCTGAAAGACTGGCGGAGACTCAATGTGGCGATAACCAGAGCCAAGCACAAACTGATCCTGCTGGGCAGCGTGTCCTCGCTGAAGCGCTTCCCCCCTCTGGAGAAGCTCTTTGACCATCTGAACGCAGAGCAGTTAATATCCTTGTTCATTCCTGTGGTCGCTCGGGCTCTGTGTCCGTGCGTTCTTCCTGTGCTTGGGTGAACGGAGACTTTCCATGGGCGTAGTTCAAAGACCGTTTTGACATTTCACAGGAAGTCTTGGTGGACAGGGTAGTCTGTGGAGTGAGCCCGGTGGGTGGGGGGGAAGGAAATGGCTTTCTCTGCCACCTGGGACCAGTGCAGGAATGGGCTCCCTCCTCTGGCCCTCTAGCCCCAGATACTGCATCTTGTTGATGCAGGGTAAAGTATTACGCTATAACTAGAAAGATCAGGCTGGGTATAGCATAGTGTCCCTGTCCACCTTTAGTCCCAGCCCTGGGATGACAGAGACAGGCGGATCTCTGAGTTTGAGGCCAGTGTGGTCTACAGAGAGTTCTAAGACAGGCAGGACTTACATAGACCCTGTCTCAAAAAACGGAGGAGGGTGGGGGGCAAGACTTGAAGCCCCCGTGTCGGCCTCCTGCTTGCTGGGTTACAGGTATGCTCCACAAAGCCTGGCTTTCCTTTGTTTGTTTGCTTGTTTGTTTCTGTGAAACCCCAGCATTTCTTGTTTGTTTGTTTGGAGACAGTCTCTAAAACCTTCGCTGGCCGTGGACTGAGATCCTGCCTCTGCCTCTGCAGGGTTGGGATTATGGCAGTAGTTTTTTTTGTTTTTTTGTTTTTTATTAAATATCAAAATCTTTATTGTATAAATCAAAAGGGGAGGCAATCTCCTCACGGAAGGCTACCTCTATTATAATGCACACAAACTAGAATAATTCTAGGGAAGAAAAGAGTGCTTGATATTTCCTGTAGATGCTACATTCATTTACCAGCTCAGAGGAAGGTCTCGTCTTTCCAGTGTGTTTCAGCTCTATGGGTGATTGATGTTCCCATGCTTCATTCAGCAGTGGACATTCACTTAGGATTTCACCCATCCCCAATACTCAGCTTCCATTTCTCTTCCATAATCAACCTTACAGTAGTTATATTTCAAAAAGACAACTTGGGTCTCCAGATTATAAACATAGTACCCAAAAAACTTAAGAGCACTGGGTTGTTTCAAAGGTAACCTCCTTGGGCTTTCTTTTGGCCCTGAGTATATCCAGGAGCTCAGGACAAAACTTTTCTAATCTGTGTGAAAGTATTACACCCCTGTCATAGCACTCCAGAGGGGCAGGGTATGTCTCATGTTTCAGCTGGCTCAGCTGGGCTGTGTGGTGTAGAAGTTCTTTCAGGAAAAGCAGAGAAAACTCGTTATCGTGGAAATCGACAATTCTGAGGTGGAAACATTGGCTTAGGGCAGGCAGCAGGGTATTGAACTGATGATTGTCCTGTATACCACATGACTGTAATTCCAGGTATTCCAGGGTATGTCTAACTTCCTCAAGGAAAAACCCAAGAGGTCCAAGGAGTAAATCACATAAATTAATATTAGCAAGGGTTAGCAATTTGAGCTCAAAAATATTTAGGCAATAGGGCAGGAAATCCAAGCCTGACTGTGAGAGGTTACAGTTAGTGATGCTAAGTGACTCCAAGGGTTTCTTCAGGCACGTGAGGAATCCCTTCAGGTATGGCAGTAGTTCTCAAGCTGTGTGGGTGGTCCCCAGTCCACGTGGGTGGGTGAACAGCCCTTTCACGGGGGTCACATATTAGACATTTAGACATTTACATTACAACTCAGGTGGAAAAGGTATAGATAAGAGGTAGTGACGGAATGGTCTTATGGCTGGGATCACTGCACCACAAACGGTGTTAAATAGCTGTAATACAACATGTATTCGTGTGTTATAGGGTTGCGCCATCAGGAAGGTTGAGAACCACTGGACTAAGGGCGTGCGCCACACCTATCTCCCACTCCCATTACTTTTCAGACAGATCGTTCTGTGAGGTGAAGTCTCAGGTATCCCAGGTTGGCCCTCAGTTGACTATAATTGGAGGTGACCTTGAAGTTCTGATCCTCTGGCAGCCCAGGATTCAGGTCTGGGCCCCCACGCCTGGCTTTCTGTCACTTTTCAAACAGATTATTCTCTCCTCTCTCTTTCCTCCTTCTCTACCTCCCTGTAGGGTCTCGTGTATCCCAGGTTATCCTACAACTTACTATAGAGCAGTGGTCTTGAATTCATCCCCCTGCCTCCGCCCCTTTAGGGCTGAGGTTATGGATGTGCACCGTAGTGCACAGGTACATTCATTGGCTCTGTCTTCCTTAATTTATCTTACATCATGGACCTTCCATCAAGAGAGCATGAGAGCCTCTGCCACATCCTGGGTGACTGTCAGAGAGGTTGACGCACTGCACCGCTACCTGTCTCGGCATCGGCAGTGACGTGATGCTCCAGCATACGTTTGCTGGAAATGGCCACCCTTAAACTGGAGATGACTTTCAGCCATCTTTTAGGTACATAAGGACGTGAACGTACTCTTTTCAAAGTTCCAGATTTTGCTCTTCTGTTACCAGGCAAAATTATACTTTAAAAGTACTGATGTACCCAAAATTGAGAAGTCTAAATTTGCAAATACGTCTGTGTGTGGAAAAATATCTGTGTATGGCCAAGGAAAAAAAAAGTAAGATTTTCACCTTAAAAGTCTTGGGGTCTGTGCTGTAACGCCTGAGGATCAGTCATATTCAAGGTCGAGGTCCTCAAAAGAAACTACAACTCTGGGTTCTGATTCCAGAATCGTAGTCGTTAAATTTAAAAGATCAGACAGACTGGCCCGTATCATTGGTTGAAGCCACTGTGCCAAGGAGACCAGGGGACCATTTCTCTGAATCTTGGGGTTTCCTGGTTGGCTTTGCTTTTCAGTGTCACCTGTGATTTTGCTCTGAGCTTGGTCTTTGAGTTACACCCATGAGTTGTGTGTCCTGTTCTTTACTCCTCACCTTCCCTGTCCCTTCGTAAGTTTTTGGGACTCTGAAGTTTAACATTAGAGGAGGACTCAATATAAAATGTATTTTTAATGTATTTTTTTATGAAGCAAAAAAAATTTTTTTGAGGAGTTTTGGTTTCTGAATTGTAATACAACATGTGTTACAGGGTCGTGCCCTTAGGAAGCCCGCCCAGGAAGTCATCTATAAATCTCTTTGGGATATTGTTACTTCTTGGGATATGGTGCTAGCTTATGAGTATGCCCTGTTTCATCCTGGTTTGCCTCATTGGGGGTATTACTCAGTGTTTTCACTTATGTACAGATATTTTTAAGAATAAATTTACCAGCAAATAATTAGCATCTTTCTATATAGGGTAACATTTTCACATCAGGTTTTATTTCCTGGAGGGGAAAAACTTCTACCTCACTTAAGTGGAAGTTTAAATATGTTAAAATAGTTGGTGCTTCTGTCTTTTTTACTATTTAATGTACAGTTTAATAAAATTTTTGTCTCAATAGACTTCACTGAATCATTTTTCATTTTGTGACTTTTATGTGTGTGTGACATAGGGTATCCTGTATCTCAGGTGACCTTGAACTTGTGATCCCGCTGCTTGTCTGGTTGCTGCAGTGGTAGATGGAGCCTCCAGCTTTGTGCGTGTGCATCCCACAACCAAGCCACCCTCTGCCCCGGAAACGATTAAGCTTGGGTGCCTAGCTTCTTTTTCCCTGATGATGGGTGAAATGTTGCTTATACGTACGTCAGTTACTTTTGCTGAGATAAACCATCATGTCCAAAGACTACTTAAGGAAGAAAGAGTTTATTTTAGGTTTCCAGATGGAGAGTCCGGAATGGTGCTGGGCACTGCAGCAGGAGACTGGAGCGAGAGGCTGAGCCGTCCCGTCTTCAACCACAAGCACGAGGAAGAAAGTGGACTGGCAGTGAGGTGAGGCTGACGTCTGCCCCGAGAGAGCCACTTCCAACAAAGCCGGGCCATCCCCAAACATCCCCATCACCTGGGAACTGGAGGTTCAAATACCTGAGCCTCCTGGGGATAGTTTTGATTCTACCACAACATTCTACAACTGAAACCAAGAAATAGCAATATCCCAGAGTTTATATAAATGATGTACTGGGTGGGCTTAACCACTGAAAGAAACCAGTAGACAGCAGATCAGAAGAGTTCCTGTCGTTGCTTAAATATCAGTATTATGAGTGTATGGAGCTGGGGGTGATCTAAGGTCATTTCAGTTCCTGGGAGGAGCCAACAAAGATTTAAAATAAAAAATTAAAGAGTGAGTGTGTGTGTGTGTGTGTGTGTGTGTGTGTGTGTGTGTCTGTTCGAGTTTATCTGCTCACATATGTGTGCTGGTGGCTTCAGAAGCCACCAGAGGGTAACAGCCTTGGAGCAGGGATTACAGTCTGGGGATTGGGTACCAAACTTGGGTCCTGTGTAAGAGCAACAAGTGCCTAACTACTGAGCTCCTCTAGTTCCAATTCTAGTCTCTTAGTTACTTGAAAGAGTCAGGATGTTTTCCACATAGATGTTTCTGTGCTTGGAGGTTTGAAGTTGAAGGTTAAGCACAAATGAGTGTGTGTGTGTGTGTGTGTGTGTGTGTGTGTGTGTGTAGTGTGGCCTTTCATGGGCTGGAGGTGAGCTTAGTGCTTAGGAGCTCACCCTACTCTTGCAGAGGACCGGAGTTCGATTCCCAGCACATCACAATGGCCTGTAACCTCAGGCGACCTGATACTCTCTGACCTCCCTCACATATGTATACACGTGCAAGTGCACTCGTACACACATTCACTACACATATGCATGTAATAGAGGATAATATATACAAATACACGTAATAATTAAGAAGTGAGATAATTTGGACACTCAGCAGCCCTGTTCCGGGACCTGTTGGGAAACCTGAGTCAGGCCTCTGATTTCCCCACTTCACCTGACTCCACCTCTGGGCCCAGTTGTCACCTGCAGCACCTGCTGTTCCTGAAACTTAACCCGAGTAGCCTGGCTTACTTACTGTCTTTATGGTCAGTCCTAAAAATCAGCATTTTAAATCTCAGCACTGGGGAGGCCTGAGAGGGAGATTACAGGTTTGAGGCTAGGCCGGTGTGTAGATAAGGCTGCTGGTGAGTAGGCCGTATTGACAGCTATTGAAGACTGATTGTGTTTAGACCTCTCAGCCGCTGCTCTGCTCTCTCCAGCCCTCAGCGGGGTGAGCCATACACAGCTGTCTCAAAAAACAAACAAAAACAAAACCCAACCAAACAAAAAAAGTAAGGTAATGCTGGTTTCCTGGTAATTGTGTTAAGTTTTAAAGGATGTTTTACTATATTTATTTATTGGGTGATGGGTGCTTATGCCCTGGCACCCCCTATGTAGAGGTTGGGGAGATAATTTTCAGGAATCAGCTCACCATGTGAGCCCCTGGGGATCAAACTCAGGTTTGGTGGCTCAGTGTGCTTTTACCCACTGAACAGTCTCATCAGACCATTCTGGTATTAATTGTGAGCCCTAGAGACTCTTGCTGTACTCTTGCACAGAAGGGTAGGTGTGCTGTAGAGAGAATAGCTTAGATCTGTATGGGTATGGGACCTGTCAATAATAAATCCGCTGGCCTATGGCTTAGGCAGGTGGTAGGATATCTGGGAGCCAGAAAGGATTCTGGGAGAGTCCCAGGCAGAAAACTCTCCTGGGAAAATTTGATGAGACAGATGTATGGTACCTGGGCATAGGTAACCAGTCACGTGGCAGAATGTAGATTAGAATAAGTTATATCTAGTCAAAAAGAACTTAGCTATATTGCCAAGGTATTTGTAAATTTATGTTGAGTCTGAGTCTTATTTCTGGGAGCATGGGGCTGGGAGAAAGAACCAGACCAAACTTGTATAATGCACAACCAGGAAACACCTCAAGCTTGGGGGATTCCTCAGAGGCTTGGGTTCTGCCTAGATATGAAGAGCAGGAGAAATAAGTAACAAAGTTGTACACTGTTTCATTTGTGGGAGGTGTAAGCAGCCTGAAGCCAGAGCCCCGTAGTTTAGGGTTAGGGTTACGTGCCTCGGTGGTGGTAGTATATTATAAAAGTAGGAAAGGATTCTCTGAGAGTCAGGACAGTACTGACCTCTGGGTCAGATGTTCTTAGGTTCTCAGGGCCTGGGTAGGTCTCTGTTCCATCTTCATCTCCCACTTACATTAGGGCTCTTTGTAAATATACCTCTGCGTGTATGACAATCTCACATTAAAGAAAACGTTTCCACTACATATATAATTGAAGGGCAACCTGGGCTACACAAGACCTCTCAAAAACAAAAGGAAACCTAAAACCAGAATTCATTGCCTCAGGTAAGAGTTCACATGTGTGCCAGGCAGTGGTGATGCACACCTTTAATCCCAGCACTTGGGAGGCAGAGGTAGGCGGAGGCCAGCCTAGTCTGAGTTCCAGGACAGCCAGAGCTACACAAAGAAACCATGTCTCAAAAAACAAAAAACAAAAACAAAAAAAAGAATTCACACATGCACACTTGTGAACATGCACACACTCTTGAGTGCACATACACAAAATAGTAAACCTCTTAGGAAAAAAAATTCTTCCTCTATATTTGTTAGACTCGCTGGACACCATGGCATCTAATATATCATTGTTGGAATGCAAGAGAAAAACCAAAGCAACCTGAGATGCTTTGAACATGCTTGGCTCATGGGAAGTGGTGCTATTAGGAGGTGTGGCCTTAGAGAAAGAATGTCACTGTTAGGGTGGGCTTTGAGGTGCTTAAGCTCTGCCCACAGTGGAAAAGCATCTCCTAGCTGCTTTGGATCAAAATGTAGAACTCTTGGCTACAATAACACGCCTGCTTGATTGTTGTCGTTCTTCTCATGATAACAGGCTGAACCTCTGAAACTAAGCCAGCACCGACTGAATGTTTGCCTTTAGAAAAGTTGGCTTGGTCCATGGTGTCTCTTCACAGCAACGGAGCCCTAACTGAAACGCAACCGAAGCCATCACCAGAGTCCAGCAAAACAAGATCTTTATTTGAATTAGGAAGCAAAAACTGACCAGTCGGTGACTACAGCACAGACTAGGGAGCTGACTGTGCCTTCAAGGTTCATCGTAACAGATGACAATTTTTTATGGTACTCAGGCTGCTACTGATCGATCTTGGGACACAGACTTGGGAGCTCACTGTGATACAAAAGAGAAATTATACAGCATTTTAAAAGAATGGAACCCCAAAGGATGGGGGCAAGCTGTAGCATTGTTCAATCATATTTCTACACAAGGGTTGAGCAAGGAAGCAAATGTTGGTGACTGGGCCTTATCGGGATCACCTGGTTTCAGGGTCCTTAACTCAGCTTTGTAGTCAGGTCCCCTCCTGGACTCTGGAATTCAGAAAGATAAGGGAACTAAGGAGAGGACAAGCTGCCCACAGTCAATTAAGTCACCAGAGATAATACTTGCATGCCTTAGTTTAGATAAGGCAACTTCCCCTTTACTGGCTAACATGAACCCCCTGAAGAAGCAAGGCAGGAGTTGGTTCTGGGGTCTGAGAACATGAACTCAGTTTTGTCTCTGCCAGCTGGACTGATGTTGGTCCTGAGATGGCTGGGTTCAGGCAACTGTCTCCTAATGTTATAATCTGGAGTGTCGATTTAACATTGTGATTTGCAGCTGTCTACCTACTTTTAGTGGTTTGTTAAAGATTTTGAGATGGGTTTATTAGCTACCAAAACCAAGATCTGCTTGCCTTTGCCTCAAGGGTGAGCCCTGGGGTTACAGGTGCATGACAGGCACCAGGCACCACACCCAGTTTGCCTGTTGCAAGTTTTATCTACGGCAAGATGGCAAGTCGAAAGGGAGGGGGAAAGATTCATTTGTGTGTGTGTGTGTGTGCATTTTTTAAAAGACAGGCCCATGTAACCCAGGCTGGCCTTGAAATCTCAAGCGTCTGAGAGAATGACCTTGAACTATTTTGTACAGGACCAAATCAAAACTACCAATGCTTTCAGCAAACTGGCCTATGTCTGCTTGCAAAAGATCGCAGCTGGGCAAGTTGACTTGAATTCCCTCAGAAGGAGGGCAGGGAGGGCCATGGGACCTTCACCGGAATAACCAGTCATTCCTTTGCAAGCTATTGTATGCAGTTCTACCCTAACTGCAATCTCTGCAGCCAGGGAGGTGACTGCATATCATCCATATAGCGATTTCAAGGTCCCTCACATTATTCCTCATAGCTCACTGATTTTTCAGCGTGAATGGTGTTAATCATTTTGGTGTGTCCTCGTGATTTTGGAAGGATTTGGTAGACACTGTTTACACCTCACTCAGGAAAGGAATTTTTTTTTTTTTTTTTTTTTTAGCAACAAACACTCCAATTCCTAAGAGAATTGGAGAATTGGTCTATTATAGGTCCACCACACCCGTTTGCAAAGTATTACATTTTGTTATTTGGAAGAGGGATTTTGCAGCTAGCTAGCCTTAGATGACCTGGCACTTGTTAGGTCGCTCAGAGTAACCTCAAGTTCCTAGCAGTCCTCCTGTCTCCGCCTCCTGTTAAGTGCTGGGGTTAGCAGCCGGATTTCAATGTCTTCCTTTGAGACTAGGCTAGCTTCAAATCCATTATGTAACTGAGCCTGGTCTTCAACTACGGATCCTTCTCACTCGCATCTCTCAAATGCTGGGATTACCGGCCGCCGGCTCTGCTAATCGCGTGAGGTTTCCTAAAATCTGTGGCTCGCTCCGAGTTTGCCGGTGTGTCCCATTAAACCCATCCGGCCCGCGAGGATGAAACCGTGGTAGCTTGAAGGCTGCGTCTACATCCTCCCTTGGCGATGTGCTGCGGCGCGGGAGCCCCCAGATCCCCGTCCCGCCTCTTTCTCTGACGCCGTCAGGGTTGGTCAAATGGGGGGTGATCGGCGGGGACCGGCTTCGCGCGGCCGTGGCGTCCTCCCGCCTCCAGGGGCGCTGTGGCGGCGCCGAGCCGGGTCAGACGCGGTGGCCGCCGCGCGCCTGCGGGGAGCTCCCGACCCGCTCCGCGAGCCCGTGTCCCGCACGCACCGCCGCCATGGGTAAGGGCAGCAGCCGGGGTCACCATCCTCCGCTTGGGTCACGTAGTCACCCGGGGACCGGGGTGGGGGGCCCTCCCGGGGTCGCCATGGCAACATTCGCCTGCCCGCATCCCTGCGCCCCGCCCGCCCTGGGGCCTGGCGGCTGGGGCCGGTGGACGGGCGGGGACCGGGGCGTCCAGGGACAAGGACGGCTTCCCAGTCTCGCGGGTGGCGGGCGGGAGGCTGGGGAGGGGAGCCGTGTGGTGCCAGGTTCCAGGAGCGCGCCCGGCCTGGGGCCCCGGTGCAGGCTTCGGGGCGCGGAGGGAGCGGGGCCGCCTCTAGGGACCGCCGGGGAGCGCCGGGGGCCGGCCCCACCTGCGGCCGCCGCTGCACAGCCGCCGTCCTAGGCTCGTCGGGTGCAGGTTACAGGTTGTGATGAACACGCTTTAAAAAAAAAAAAAAAAAAGAATTCTGCCGATTATGAAACGTCAGGCGGTTTCACTTCGGGCGCCGCGGTGCGGAGAGAGAATCACACCTCGACGGAGAGTGGAGGAAAAGATGTGGGCAGATGCTTCATCACCCAGCCCGGCTGTTTCAGATTGCGGAGGAAGTCAGCCCAGAGAGCTGAAATGCAAACCATAACCGAGGGCCCGAGCAAGGGGATGCTTGTTTTTTGTTTGTTTGTTTTTGAAACAGGTTCCCTCTGCCTAGTCCTGGCTGTCCAGGACCTAGCTCTGTAGACCAGGCTGGCCTGGAACTCAGAGATCCCCCTGCCTCTGCCTCCCAAATTCTGGGACTAATGTGTGCCGCACCACGCCCAGCTGTTTTGTTTTGAGACAGTGTGCCACTAAATAACCCAAACTGGTCTAGTGAACGCCTTGACCACCTGAGTTTGTCATTTACTTAAAGGTTGCTTTTGAGACAGGTCTCACTATATAGCGTTGGCTGCCTCGGAACACTGTGTAGACCAGGCTGGTCTCAAGAATCACAGACGTTGGGATTACAGAAGCACCGCCATGGCAGAGCTATCTGCAGATTAAGAAATGTTATGTTTGTTTTTCACATCTGTTTTGCCGTCTTTGCAGAAAATATTTGTGCCACTCGGCAGTGTTTAGAGTGTTGGGGAAACAGCTGATTTTTAAAAATGGTAGTTTTTAGTGTGTGTGTACCTGAGTGTAGGGGCCTCCAGGGGCGTTGGCTCTCCTTCGAGCTGGAGTTAAGCAGTTGCCACAGGTACTGGGACTTAACTCCTTTCCAGCCCATACTAGAATTTTTTTCTCCTTTTTTTTCATTTCTTTTGATTTGGGAGTTGTGTTTTTCCAGACAGGGTCTTACTATGTAACCCTGGCTGGCCTGCAACCTAACTTCCAGTTGCCAAGGTTAAACGCATGGACAACTATCCTGGATTGAGCTGTTTCTTCTCTATCCCTATATTTGTCAGAATATTTTGATTTTTTTTCTGTTGTTTTTCCTGTGATGTTTGTTCTGGGAGATTCTGGTATCTGATACCTTTTATTTTGTTGCTAGTGTATTTTGAATTTTTTTTTTTCTTGAGACAGTTTCAGTATGTGGCCCTGGCTGTCCTGGAATTCTGTAGACTAGACTAGGCCTCTAACTCACAGAGATCCACCTGCCTCTGCCTCCCAAGTGCTAGGATTAAAGATGCGTGTCACCACTGCCCAGCTAATGTTTTTGAAATAAAGATTTGTGTGTGTGTTGGGTGTGTGTTTTGTGTGTATGTTGTGTGTGTATGTTGTGTGTGTTGTTGTTGTAGGTGGTGTGGTATGTGTGTGTTTGTGTGCACATGATATGTCCTCAGGCCAGAAGAAGGCATTGGGCCACTTGGTTATAGAGTTACAGGTAGTTGTGAACCATCCTAATGGATGCTGGGAACCGAGTTTTGGTTCTTTGGAAGAACAGCCAATGCTCTTAATAGCTGAGCCATCTCTGTAGCCTCTTATTCTTGCCTGGAAGTCATTAGGCCATACCTACTGTCTACCATTTGCAAGAGCCTCAAACATACCTCAAACATGTAGGTGGCTTATGCTTCCAAGTGTACCTTCACAGAAAGTCATTTTCCCTAAAGATGTGTGCAGTAGGCAGGCAGGCACAAATGTGCTGTGTCTGGTAAGTAATAGTGTGCATGTGTGCGCGTGTGTGTGTGTGTGTGTGTGTGTGTGTATGGTCAGAGACATTCTCTCTGGCTACCTTGTGGGTTCTAGATGGAGCTCAAGTGGTCAGGCCTGCACATCCCCTCTGAGCAATCTTTTTTTTTTTTTTCTTTTTTTTCGAGACAGGGTTTCTCTGTGTGGCCCTGGCTGTCCTAGAACTCACTCTGTAGACCAGGTTGGCCTCAAACTCAGAAATCCGCCTGCCTCTGCCTCCCAAGTGCTGGGATTAAAGGCGTGCGCCACCATCACCCAGCCCCTCTGAGCAATCTTGCCAGCCAGAAAATAGAGCTCATTCTCTGTGTGGAGTCTTAAGGATGATTCGTAGGCATGGCTGCAGTGGGCGTGGCACTGAGAGAGAGAGAAGAGGTGTCTGGTGGCGCCCTGGCCTGAGGAGATACCCAGTTGCCAACCACAGGAAAGCGGACAGTATTAACTTCCATGGGGAGGAACAGACGTGTGGACTTGCCACTGTTGTCAGGTCCTGGGAATGATGTTAAACTTATTTGCATTTTTCAGCTACAAAGGACCCCACGGCTGTGGAGAGAGCCAATCTCTTAAACATGGCTAAACTGAGCATCAAAGGGCTCATCGAGTCCGCCCTGAGCTTTGGCCGTACCCTAGACTCCGACTACCCGCCTCTGCAGCAGTTCTTCGTGGTAATGGAGCATTGTCTGAAACACGGCCTGAAAGGTATGACGAGACTCCCAAAATCAATCCACCTTCTGGCCCCTCGATTTTCACCCTCAATGTCCTGGAGAAATAGTTCTGAGGCCGTAGCTGCCGTTGACTATTTTGCATTTTAAATCTGAACATGAAGACCTCCGCAGAGGGGAGACCCTCACTCAAGTCTCAGAAAGTCTCGACCACCCAGTAATCTGCTCGAGACACCATGTACCGGAGCAATTGCGAGGTTTATTAGGGCGTGACAGCTAGCTGCTGGTCAATTCGTACGCCCACGCAGGAGCTGAATTGACCCCGACAGCCAGTTGAGAGGGGTTTTTAAGGGGAAAAAACCACAAACCAAGGAATGGGGAGGGGGTGAGGGGGTTGCTAGGGTGGTATAACATAAAAATAGTGGAACATTCCAAAGGAACCCAACCTACGTGAGTCAGGATCAGGTGAAAACTCTCTGTACGCTTATCTTTCTCAAGAATGTTGTCCTGCCCTGTTACTTCGGCCCTGCCCCATCACCATGATTCTCAGCTTGGTTCTACCTGGCTAAATTGCATTCTAGCCAGTTCCCGTAACTAGTCTGTCTACATTCTTAACTTGCTTCATGTCTCCATGTCTTTATAAAGAAAGCCTAAAGAATATTTTATGTCTAAAAAGGATTCTATATACCCAGTATCTATAATTTTTCACTCTACAAACATTGGTCCAATGGAACGGCTTCGTGGAGCTGGAATTCCCCAGTTTGATCTTTGGAATCTAGGTTAAGGTGTGTTGATTTCAGGAGAAAGTATTACTGTTGTGATTCCTAGTGTATGATCTTCAGGAAAAACATTTTTTTGTTTTTTGTTTGTTTTTTAAGACAAGTTTTCTCACTGGGCAGTGGTGGCGCACGCCTTCAATCCCAGCACTTGGGAGGCAGAGGCAGGTGGATTTCTGAGTTTGAGGCCAGCCTGGTCTCCAGAGTGAGTTCCAGGATGGCCAGGGCTACACAGAGAAACCCTGTCTCGAAAAACAAAACAAACAAACAAACAAACAAAAGACAAGTTTTCTCTGTGCAGCCTTGGCTGTCTCAGAACTCACTTTGTAGACCAGGCTGGCCTCGAACTCACAGAGATCTGCTGTCTGTCTCTGCTTCCCCAGGGCTGGGATTAAAGGTATACACCATCTTGCATTACAATTTTTTTTTTATAATAATTGGTGAAAAACATACTTGATTACTCTTTCTTTTCCTTTTTTTTTTTTTTTTATTAATTTTTTGAAATGGTCCTATATAACTGGCCTTGAACTCACTATATAGACCAGGCTTGTCTTGAACTCACAGAGACCTGTCTGCCTCTTCCTCCCAGATGCTGAGATCAAAGGCGGGTGCCAACATGTTTGACCTTATTACATGTTGTTTTACACATTTACCCTTCAACAGATTTTTAATTTCTTGAGTAATTAAAAAAAAATTACATTTATTTACACAGTCGTGCATGTGCACACACACATGCACACACACACACACACACACGAACATAAAGATCAGAGGGCAACTCGCAGGCGGCCAGTACCTTTTCCCACTGAGCCATCTCAGTGAGTGGCCTTAGATTGCGTTTGAAACCGAGTGGAGATGCTGACGTGAGCTCACTGATAGCTTGAACTCATTGAAACAGTTACGTCCAAGTAGATCGCTGAGATGGAAATGTCTCCATGCATGGGGACGTGCATGGAAAGTGTCCTCTGAACCAGGTTCCGGTAGAAACAGAAGTGATGACCCTCTACTACGCAGGTCACATCAGAGGTCGATATGTGGAAAATGTGTGGGTTTTGAGGCTCTCTATGGAGCCCTGACTAGCCCGGAACTCACTGTATAGACCAAGCTGGCTTCCAGCTCCCACAAGTCCGCTTGCCTCTGTCTACTGAGGTTACCCAGGCCCCATCGTGCTCAGGTGGTGCTTAGGTTTTGAGACAAGGAACAGGCAAATAGCCCAGACTGGCCTGGTACTTGCTGTGTAGCCCCAAGGACTGAAGTGGTGGGCGCCTTCTCTGTGCAGAGATGAGAGAGCTTTTTCAAGGAATCATGCAACTCAGAACTACGTTTGGAATGAAATACAGGATAGCAGGCCAGGGAGATGACCCAGTCTGAGGACTTAGTTCAATTCGTAGTGCCCACACAGAAAGCTGGACTTGGTAGCAAGCTTGTAATCCCTAACCTGGGGAGGTGGAGGCAGGAGGATCCCTGGAATTCAGCTAGCTTTGTTTCCATCCATTGATCCTATGGGGAGCCCCTGCCTCAGAACACAGGGTGGCTGGCCCTTGAGGACCCCTCCCAAAGCTACTGTCTGGCCTCCCTTGCACACACACATACCCCACGATAAGATGACACACCTGGCTCTGTAGTATGCAGTGTTTAAATATATACTGGATAATAGTAATTCTCTTACTTAAAATAACAATTAAGCCAGGCGTGGTAACACATACCTATAATCCCAGCACCCATGAAGGCAGAGACAGGAAGTTCAGATGTTTAAGGCCATCTTCAGCCACAGCGCAAGTCTGAGGCCAGCCTGTGTTGGCTGGAGTGTCTGTGGTGGTACAGCTGTAATCCCAGCACAAGGAAGGCAGAGGCAGGCAAGTCGCAGAGTTTGAGGCTAGCCTGGTCTACATAGGGAGTTCCTTGGCCAGCCAGGATGACAGAGTGATAACCTGTTTCAAAAAAATCATCCATCCATCCATCCATCTATCCATCCATCCATATATGTATATGTACGTAACTATACACCCAGGTTGGGGGTAGCTTTGATCTCTTACTTGTGTGATCAGTGTCCGTGTTGTGGGCTAGGAAAGAGTTGTACATCCAAGCATTCAGAGAATGCGCTCAGTTGATGGGTGTGTGCTTAGCCTGCTGGCTTTGACCTCCAGCCCCTCATAAACTGGCCCTGGTGGCTCGTGTTTGTGATGCCAGCACTTGGGAGGTGGAGGCAGGAGCATTAGAAGTAGAGAGCCAGGGGCTGGAGAGATGGCTCAGTGGTTAAGAGCACGGACTGCTCTGCCAGAGGTCCTGAGTTCAATTCCCAGCAACCACACGGTAGCTCACAACCATCTGTAATGAGATCCGATGCTCTCTTCTGGTGTGTCTGAAGATAATGACAGTGTACTCACGTACATAAAGAATAAATAAATCTTTTAAAAAAGTAGATAGCCATCTTCAGTCACCTCTGAACAGAACCCACTCTCCCATGTAAGCTCAGATTATTAAACATTTTCCAGATTACAAAGTGCTGGAAGATTATCTTCGGAGTATATAGCTAGGCACATGTTCTAGGATTGCTTTCTGTGCACCCTCTTTCCCCTCCCGGCCCCCCCCCCCAAAAAAAAGGAGGGGTGGGGTTTTTCTGTGTAGCCCTGGCTGTACTGCAACTCACTATGTAGACCAGGCTGGCCTCCAACTCACAGAGATATGCCTTCCTCTGCTTCCTGAGTGCTGGGATTAGCAAATGGCTAATCCCAGGCAGTGGGGTTTATGGAGGCTTAGTTAGGATGCCAGCTAGCAGTGGATGGGAACCTTTGCTTTGTCATGTCTTTGCTCACTCTTGATATTATCTGTCTAAAGAACTTTCCTCTGGGCACTTGAGATGAGACGTTCTATATTGCTGTGGCTGTTCTATAATTCTTAGAGTCAAGCAATCTTCCTGCCTCCCCAGGACACACAGTGGAAACAGAGACCGGATTCTGCTTCCTCAGTAGCTGGGACCAAGTCCAGCTTCCAGATATCTTAAAAAAAAAAAGATTTAATTTTTAAAATTATATATCAGACCTTCAGAGTCAGACCCTGTCTCAAATAAATAAATAATGCGTGTGAGTGCAGGTGCCCATGGAGGCCTGGCTGGGAACACCTGGCGTGGATGCCAGCAGAGGGTGTCTGGTCCCCTGGAGCAGGAGTTAGAGACGGTTGGGAGCCTCCTGACCTGAATGCTGGGAACTGAATTCTAAACTCTGGAGGAGCAGCAAGGGTCTGTCACTGCTAAGCCGCCTGCCCAGCCCACAGATCCTTTTGAAAAGGATTTTAACATTTATTTTTTAATTATGTGTGTAGGTACATATTTATGAGTGCAGGCCATCGCAGACCTAAGGCCTTTGATCCCCTGGAGCTGGCATTACAGGTGGGCTGGGCGAGGTCCTGTGGGAGAACAGTGTATATTCTCTTAACCCCTGAGCCCATCTCGCCAGCCTGTCTCACAGGTACTTTTATTACGTCAGGAAATTACCAATTGTGTGCCAAGGTGTGTGTGTGATTGCGTGCACGTGTGTGTGTGTGTGTGTGTGAGAGAGAGAGAGAGAGAGAGAGAGAGAGAGAGAGAGAGAGAGAGAGAACACACCTTGCAGGAAAGGAATCCGGTCTCTGCTTCCATTGTGTGTCCTGGGGATCAAATTCTGGTGTCGGGCTTGCAGGGCTGCCTTTACCAAAAGCCATCTCCCTAGCCTGCTCCCTTCATTTATTTATTCTGAAATATTTATTTTGAAATGGCAGTGATCAGAATCTTTCTTTTCCCCTAAATTGCTGAATTGGAATTTGATGATCATGGCCCAAACAGTTGAACTTCAAGTTGTTTTCAGACTATATCATCCTGTATTTCATAAACTCAGCATACCAGGTGTCGCAGTCACAGGCTTATCTTAACTCGTGACTGTAAAGCTGTTTAGCCTCTGAGATTGGTGGCTGCCCTTGCTTGTCCGTTTGTCCATGACAGCCACATTCTATCTGCAGAAGGCCTGATTACATTTTTTTTCTTTTACTGACTGTATGTTTGTCTATGTGCTGCCTACATGCAGTGTCCGAGGACACCAGAAGAGACCATCGGCTCCCCTGGCGATCTGTTGTTGAGAACCAAGCCCTGTTCTCAGAAGAGCAGCCTGAGACAGGGTCTCTCTGTGTAGCCCTGGCTGTCCTGGAGCTGTCTGTGTAGACCAGGCTGGTCTCCATCTCACAGAGAGTGCTCGGAGGTGCTGGGGTTAAAGGTCTGTGCCGCTTGGTCCAGCAACCTGGACCTCTCGACCCCAGTGTTTCCACTTCCCACCTCCCTGATGACAGACACGGGCTGTGGTGCCCAGTTGTTCCTGCAGTGCTAGGGTCAAACCCAGGGCTTCCTGCTTGGTAGGCTAGCAGTCTGTCAAGGGAACTATGTCCCCAGCTCAAATGTCACCTAATGTCAAAAGTAAATTGTATTTACAAGGAAAGTACTTTTATTCTGCCTTTTTTGTTTTTCTTTATTTTATTTTATTTTATTTTGTTTTTTGTTTTTCGAGACAGGGTTTCTCTGTGTAGCCCTGGCTGTCCTGGAACTCACTCTGTAGACCAGGCTGGCGTCAAACTCAGAAATCCGCCTGCCTCTGCCTCCCAAGTGCTGGGATTAAAGGCATGCGCCACCACCGCCCAGCTTTTCCTACTGTCTTTAGTCAGCCTCTCTCCTTAAACTGGAAACTCACAGTTTCACTTGGGCAGGTTAGCCAGCCAGCCCTCAGGGCTGCCCTTCTCCACCCTCCGATGCCATGCCCAGCTTGCCATGTGGGTACTAGGATTGACTCAGGCCTCATGCTTGACGAGGAGTCACTGTTAGCCACTGGACCGACTCTCCAGATCTGTAACTAAATGTTTAAAGATGGATGTTACTCCCAGTTTATGAGTTGAAATTACATGTTATATATATATATTTTTTTTTATCCAGTGAGAAAATCATTTTTGAGTTATAACAAAACTATTTGGGGCCCTCTGGAACTGGTGGAGAAGCTGTACCCAGAAGCAGAGGAAATCGGAGCGAGTGTCCGGGATTTGCCTGGGCTTAAGTAAGTATGGTCGATTGTTCCCTGAAGTACATCTGCCCATCCCTCGACACTCACAGGCTGCTTTACCACCCTCATGGCCTGAGCCCCACTTCCGCTTTCTCCTACTAAAGCCCTGTTCACTGTTATAGCTCACCTCACACTGTTTCCCTCAGAGAAACTCTGGACAACAGCAACAACGACTAGAAACCCTGCAAGCCGGTGCATTCTAGCTCAGAAATCATGAACGCGGAAAACTTTTTTCAAGTTAGCAAATTGTTTTTCTTATTTTTTTGAGACAGAGTTTCACTATGAATGGCTGACTGTCTTGGAATTCACTCTGTAGATCAGGCTGGCCACGAACTCACAGAAATCCCCCTGCCTCTGCCTCCTGAGTGCTGGGATTAAAGTTGTGTGCCACCACACCTGGCTCCTCCATTTTTTATACTTATATTTTGTTATTTGTGTGTGTGTGTTCCTGCACACACACATGAACACATATGTATCATGTGTATGTAGGGGTGAGAGGGCATGTGGATGCCAGACCATGCATATGGGGGTCAGGGAAGGACTTTCAGGGTCAGTCTTCTTACATGGCAGGATCTGAGGCTGGAACTCGGGGCACGAGGCTTGTCGCAGTGGCCCTTAATCCTTAGGACAAAGATGGTGTGGCTATTTTCATTTTTACCCTGAACGTGTGTGTTCCTTGCAGACACATGTCCCATGGTGTGGGTGTGAAGGCTCAGCCACTATGATATAATACCTCTAATAGAAATAATATTCTAGATCATTCTTTCTTCCAAAGCTTATAGCCGTACTTAACAATAACTTGGGCCTGGAGAGATGGCTCAGTGGTTAAGGGCACTGGCTGCTCCTCCAGAGAATCTGTGTTTGATTTCCAGTACCCACATGGTAGCTCACAACTGTCTGTATCTCTAGTCCTAGGGTATCTGACACCCACTTCTCGTCTCAGTGGGCAGGCACTGCACCTACATGATACACAAACATATATTTAAGCAAACACTTATATAACATAAATTTTAAAAAAATAAATAAAATCTCAAAAAAAAAAAAAAAAAGTCCACCCAGAGGAAGAATTGCTTGCTCAGAAAACTAGCATAAGGTGCTGGAAAGATGGCTCAGCCCTTTGAGATGACAAAGGGTTTGATTTCCTGTCTGGCAGCTCGTAACTCTTTATATCTCTGTCCAGTTCTAGAGATCCAATACCTTTGGTTTTGGCCTCTGCAGGTACTGTATGCATATAGATGCACGTAAAACACCCGTACACATAAAATTTAAACACTAGCATAGGACCGTGGAGATCACTCCGTGGGTAAAGGGTTTAACTGCACGAAGACCTGAGTTTGTAAAAACTAGGTGCCCTGGGTGAGAAGGCAGACAGCTATCACTGGGCAGGATAGTTTAGGTTCAGTGAGAGACCATGTCCAAAAATGAACTGGAAAGCTATCCCAACGCCAATCTTTGGTTTCTGGATGTGTCCTCTTGGTTGAAAGAGCACAGGTGCGCATGCGCACCCTGTCCCTCGCCGCCCTGCAAACGGCTTCAGGTTCTAAAGGTGAACAATGTTTATCAACAGATATAGAGCCCGTGGCCAGCAAGTTTAGCACCTGTCTTGTAACCCAATGGCTCTTCTTTCTAGGACTCCCCTGGGCCGTGCTAGAGCGTGGCTCCGATTAGCCCTCATGCAGAAAAAAATGGCTGATTACCTGCGTTGCTTAATTATCCAGAGGGAGCTCCTAAGGTTAGTATCATTAGTCATGTTCATTTTTTATTATTTACATGTTGTCATCCAAAAAGAAGTGAGGAAAGATGCATGAAATACGGTAAAATAGAAGGAGCGGCCAAATGCGAAGGCAAAGGGACGGGAGAGGGACATGCCACCAACGAGCAACTAGCCTGAGAGAAATTGCATCAAATGTTACCGCTGAACACGGGCTAACCTCAGCATGACTCCAAGTTGCTTCCCTTTCTCCGAATTATAATTTTGTGGATACAAATTTGCATTGGGACTTGGGGGTTTGATTGACGATTTCTTTTTACGATCTTACTGAGCGCTTCAGCCGTATCATGAGCATTGCTTAACTGAAGGGCAAACACTGAAGACAGCTTTCAGAGCAGCGCAGTGAGTAGGGAGCTGGCCCAGGGCGACCCCTGGCCAGGGTTCTCTTGGCCCACCCCTCTGCTATTTCGGGAATAGTGTTCTGTGTTTGGTTTTACTGATGACTCCAGTTTCACATCTCAGCCGTTTGCATTTGTGAAATGACAGTGGGCATAGCTGAAGCCCTGGGAGTCCTCAGCAGTACTGCGAGGACCAGTGAAAGCCGTAGGTGAAACACATAATGCTTAATGGCACCTGAGCTTTTCCTGATTATAAAAACACTGGTAACTTCAGTTTTAGACTGGTTTCTTTGCAAGGCTCTCGCTTCCCCTCCCCCTCTCTCAGCAGGGTCTCATAGCCCAGACCTGCTGTGTAACCGAGGATGACCCTGATTCTTTTGCTCCCCGTCTCACCTTTCAAGTACTGGAACTACCGGTGTGTGCCAGCATGCCTGGGGACCACGTCTCTTGGACACTTTTAGAGTGTACTTATCCGTGTGTCCTTAGTTGATGATTACCCATTAAGAATACTTAGGGGCTTAGAGAGATGGCTAAGTAGTTAAGAGCACTTGCTGTTCTTGCAGAGAACTTGGGTTCAGTTTCAAGGACACACGTGGCAGCTAGCAACCATCAAATTCTGGGGGATCCTGTGCTTTCTTCTGGCCTTTCAGGGTACCAAGCACATACATGCATACATGTATATATGCAAACATATAAAATCTTTTTGTGACAGGGTATCACTAGTAGCCATGGGTAGCTTGGAATTTGCTATGTAGATCAGGCTAGCCTCTAACTCAAGAGATCTCTGCTTCTGCCTCCTGAGTGCTGAGATTAAAGGCATGTGCCACCACAGCCAGCTATTCCGAAGGTCTTAAGGAATCTGGGGACTGAAATGTGAGCTATAATTACAAGAGTTATAATCAGAGCAGCAGCAGTGACAGTCCTGAGACTCCAGCATCCCAAGCCTCTGGGTCACCTCCGTTCTCTCTGACCCTAAGGCACAGTCCACAAGCTGGAGAGATGGCTACGAGCATTGGAGGCTCATCTAGAAAACCTGGGTTCAGTTCCCAGCACCCACACTGGCAGCTCACAACTGTAACTCCAGTTGCGAGGAATTAGATGCCTTCTTATGGCCTCTGTGGACACTGAATTACTGCATAATTCAGGCTAGCCTTGAACTCATAGGAATCCTCCTGTCTCAGCCTCCTGGGGATTCTAGGAGGCTTTCATGCCCAGCATTACCCTTTTTTCTTTTCATTTCTGTTTTTCCCTCCAAATGTCTGTCTCCTACTTCCTTCAGTCCTTTTGTTTTTTTTTATGTGGACATCGAGCCTTTTTACAGGTTAGGTGTTGAGAATGTAATTTAGGGGAACTTAGGTAGACTCCCATCTTCAAGGTGAGAGACGAGGTTGGTAAGGTGTTAAGGTCTCAAAGCTGAGTTGTAAGAGTTAGGCTCGTGATGAAGGTCTCTGTTCTCCTCATGTCCCCAGCGAGTTCTACGAGTACCACGCCCTGATGATGGAAGAGGAGGGAGCCGTGATTGTCGGGCTGCTGGTCGGCCTGAACGTGATTGATGCCAATCTGTGTGTGAAGGGAGAGGACCTAGACTCCCAGGTGAGCGAGCATAGGGAATGCAGAATGCGGGTAATGCAGACCTGTGTCTTCCTTGCATACAGCTCTTCCTGGGTCCTTGTAGCTCTGAGTTGTGCACAGTGCTGTTAGTCACTTGAGCAAAGTTCAGTTGCATGCTGTGTTAGACAAACACCTGATAGAAACAGCTAAGGTATTACTTTCCTGTTGTGAGGATGGAATATCGTTCCCCAAAGCAACTTAAGGGAGTTTGTTCTGGCTCACAGTTGCAGAGGGCTAGAGTCCTTAATGGTGGGGAAGGCATGGCACGCCCACAGGAACAGGAAGTGGAGTGTGGCTATAAACCCTGAAAGTTTACTGAGGCCGGAAGGAGGTTCCATAACCTCTCCAAACAGTGACACCAGCTGTGGACAGTGTTAAAATACATGAGCCTCTGGGGCCACTTGTCACTCAACCACCACAAAGGAGGGAAAGTGTTTATATTTGGGCTCCTCGGTTTAGAGGTTTCTGGCAGACTGGCTTGAGCTATGGGCCTGTGGTGTCGATGGAGCAATATGGCAGAAAGGGTGGCCAGAAAGAGTAGCAGGCAAGGCCGGGGGCCAAGATGTATCCTTTAGAAGCCTGTCCTCAGCAGTGGCTTCCTCCAGCCAGCTTCAAGCTGCCACAGTTCTCCTGGCTCCTTGTGGTCTGTTCAGGTTCTCTTAGCTCAGAGCCATCAGGACCTAAACATCCCCAGAGAACCCACAGAGCCAGGGGCAGGCTTCCATGACTGCTCATCCCTCAGGCCAGTGAAAGACCTGGTGACTAGTACTTGTCTTTAAATAAAAATGGGTTTATTAACTTCAGGTTGGAGTGATTGATTTCTCGATGTATTTAAAGAATGAAGAAGAGATCGGAAACAAGGAAAGGTACGTCCCCTCCTCATTTTGGGGTTGTAGCTTACTTGTAGCTATTTGCCAATGAACGAGCCGTCTGTTCACGGTTTGGTTTCTGCTCCTCCCTGCCTGGAGCCTTGGCTTGACTTTTTCTTCCTTTAAAAGCTTCTACAGGGCAGATAAAGAAAAGTCCTGTCTGAGGGCCGGGGATGGTGGCGAACGCCTTTAATCCCAGCACTTGGGAGGCAGAGGCAGGAGGATTTCTGAGTTCGAGAGTTCGAGGCTAGCCTAGTCTACAGAGTGTGTTCCAGGACAGCCAGGGCTACACAGAGAAACCCTGTCTCGGAAAAAAAAAAAAAAGAAAGAAAAAAAAAAGTCCATCAGAGGAGGTTGACTTTGGTCCACAGTAGGAGTCTTGGTCTCCTCTTTCCTTACTGAGACACCTCAGTAACTATTTTGTGTCAGTGATGGCTTATTATTTAATTGGTTTAAGATGTTTAATGACCCATTAGCAAGTAGGCTGCTCAGCAGGGTTCCTAGGGCTCAGTTCCCTGACGTATGGCAGCCTGTTTTAAAAGCAAAGCCATATTTTATCACTGTGGTGAGTTGTACACATTTCCAGATGATTTAGGTATATTTTAAACTCCTCTTTCCTCCCACCGTAGGAACGTTCAAATTGCCGCCATCTTAGACCAAAAGAATTATGTTGAAGAGCTAAACAGACAACTCAAGTAAGTATTCTGAGCACCTTACTATGCTAGAGAATCTCACTGGAGGGCCTGCTTTGTTTCCAGCTTAATCTTTATTCCTTTCTACTTAGCATCTTTGATTGCTAAGCATTTTTGAGAGGTGGTTGAAGGGCTGACTAGATGCAGAACAGAAGTTAATAATAATAATACACAGGGAGAGCTATGTCCCATGATTGTAATAATCCCAGTACTGGGAAGTAGAGATAGGGTCAGATGTTCCAAGTTCTGCTAGTCAGTTTGAGAGTAGCCTGGCCTAAGCAAGACCCTGTCTTAAAACAAACAAACAAACCCGCCGGGCAGTGGTGGTGCACGCCTTTAATCCCAGCACTTGGGAGACAGAGACAGGTGGATTTCTGAGTTCCAGGCCAGCCTGGTCTACAGAGTGAGTTCCAGGACAGCCAGGGCTACACAGAGAAACCCTGTCTCGAAAAACCAATAAAATAAACAAACAAACCCAAAGCTAAAATAAAAGGCCCAAAAGCTGCCGACACATCTCCACCATAGATGGAGTTGCCTTACCTGCCCAAGGCCCTGGGCTGAGTCAATCCAAGAGAAATCTAAATAGAAATATTGTTTTGCTGTGGTCTTTGTTGGTATTTTAGCCCAGCTTCAGTTAACCAGGCTAATGAAATTGATCCCCTCTAAAAATTTGTTCTGGGTCAGTAACCGTGAGTCTGGGGATCTGTACTGTCCTAGCCTTTTTGAGCTTGTGTGATTTTGAATGAGTTTTTTTCATTGCCAATTCCAGCAGCACAGTCAGCAGCCTCCATTCAAGAGTGGACTCGTTAGAAAAGTCAAACACTAAGCTGATCGAAGAGGTACAGTCTCCAGCAATGGATGCTTGTGTTCTGAGTACCTGCTGTTTGTGATCCTTTAAGTGTAAATGCTGTTAGCATTCGTCACACCATAACATACACACAGTCACATACTCACACCCCGCCACCCCCATACATGGTGGGGTATTGCAGTCCAAGATTGCGAGTTCTAGGGAACCCACATAGACCTTAAGTTCCCAATTGCATACTCTGGGGTACTATTATTTGTGATTGTAACTGGAAATCAGCCCCAGAGACAAAAGTCACACAGAATCCTAAATTTGCCGGGCAGTGGTGGCGTACCACTTTAATCCCAGCACTTGGGAGGCAGAGACAGATGGATTTCTGAGTTCAAGGCCAGCCTGGTCTACAGAGTGGGTTCCAGGACAGCCAGGGCTACACAGAGAAACCCTGTCTTGAAAACAAACAAACAAACAAACAAAACAAAACAAAAGAATCCTAAATTCATGGAATGAGATTCTCGTTTCAACCATCTATGTGTAGATCGAGCTGTTACTGTCTGGCTAGTCAGATATTTCTCTTCACGAGCAGGACTGTATAATCCTGTCTTCAGACACACCAGAAGAGGGCATTGGCTCTCAGTACAGATGGTTGTGAGCCACCATGTGGTTGCTGGGAATCGAACTCAGGACCTTTGGAAGAGCAGTCAGTGCTCTTAACTACTGAGCCATCTCTCCAGCCCATGAATAAACCTCTTTAAAAATTTAGCTCTTCTACTTGTAGAGTTGCTTCTTGAGATTATTTGAGATAGGGTCTCACTGGATAGACTACTAGGCTTTCCTCTGCCTCCCAAGTTCCAGGATTAAAGGTGTACACTTGATTTTCTTTTTTTTCTTAAGTCTGTCAAACCTATCTTCTGAACTATGGTAGAAACATGAGGTAAGCTAGAAGTCAGGTATTAGCACTATGACCCTATCTTTCCACGTTAATTAAAATTCCTTTTAGAACTGTTCTGATTTCTTTCCAAACCAGGCAGTTGTGATAAGTTGAATACTTGCAAATAAGAAATACGTATGTGAGGCCCAACATGATGGCACACACCTGTGATCCCAGCACATGGGATCCCAGCACAGGGAAACAGTAGGGAGTTCAAGGCCAGCCTCAGCTACATTATCACTGAATTTGAGCAAGCTGACCTACATGAGACTTTGTCTCAAACAAACAAACAAACAAACAAACAGAAAACCACAAAAGAATACTTAAGAACACCACGTATATATTGTTGGTAGGAATCTTTCTTGGGGATATTCTAGAGCTTCTCATGAGCTTATGTTTCTTTTTGGCTTTCCATACAGAAGGTTTGAGCTGTTTCCCCAGTGTTCAGAAATGTACAAACTGCTGCCACCTTCAAGAGACGGCCCCTGATCTACTTGTTCAGGATTTTTCTTTTCGTTCTGGGCTTCAGAGCCACAGTTCCTGGGCACTAGTGTAAACTCTGATGCTAAAGTTGTCTGAGTGGACAGTTTTGGAGTCCTGTCACCTGTCACATCCATGGGGTGGGTGTCCTGTTGAGTCACCATGAACATTTGTCACACTTTGAAACCCAGCCCCATCTCTTTCCATGTGCACAAGTCTTTACAGTATGCCTGCTTTACACACCACTCTTCTGGGCTTCCTCCTTCACTGCACTCAACGGTGAGTCTGACAAGTACACCGTTCCTCACAAGCCTAGCAGATGCACGCGTGCTTCAACTGTGGAAGGTAACAGTTGAAGGACTAAGAAAATGGCTCAGCAGTTAGCAGCACTGGCCACTCTTGGAGACCAGGTGATCAATTCCCAGCACCTACATGGTGGCTCACAACCATCTGTAACTCCGGTTGCAGGGAATTCAACACACTTTTGAATTCTGGACACAAGGCACACATATGATGTACATACATAGATGCAGGCAAAACATACATACACAACTATTAAAAAAAAAACAGTGAAAAGAATAATATAGTCAGGCATGGTGGCCATGCCTAGTATCCCAGCACTCAGGAGAGGCAGACAGAGCTGAAGTCAAGTCCATCCAGGGCTATATAGTGAGTTCCTGTCTAAACTCCACCAAAATAAACAAGATGAACATACTTTTTTTTTTTTTAATTTATTTATGAGTGCTCTATCTGGAAGTACATTTTCATGCCAGAAGGGGGCATCAGATCCTATCATAGATGGTTATGAGCCACCATGTGCTTGCTTGGGATTGAACTCAAGACCTCTGGAAGAGCAACCAGTGCTTTTAAACCCGAGCCTTCTCTCCAGCTCCCCATACCTATTTTTATGTGTATGATTTGTTTTGCCTGCATGCATGCACGCCTGTGTACCACATGCATGCCTGGTGCTCATGGAGGCCTAAGAGGGCGCCAGATCCCTGGAACTGGAGTTCCAGATGCTTATGAGCTCCTGTGTGGGTGCTGGGAACTGGACTTCGGTCCTCTGCAGAGCAGGAAGCACTCTTGGCTGCTGAGCCATCTCTCCAGCCCACAGCACATTTTAATGATGGAAGTTTCTGTACAGTGTGAGACTGTTCTTAGTGGTTTTAGGGTTTTCTTTCCAGCAGTTTGTAGTCACACACATAACCTGTACAGCAGGTATACCCAGAGATGCTCAGAATGGCTCTTTGTGTTTCACAATTTGCAGTTAGCAATAGCGAAGAATAATATCATAAAGCTCCAAGAAGAAAACCATCAGTTACGTAGTGAAAATGAATTGATCTTAATGAGGACTCGGCAGCACCTGGAGGTGAGTCACTGCTTCGGAGACCCGGGATCCCAAGTCCTGTACTTTAGGTATGTGGGATGACAGAACCCCATGTGATGGTGTGACCTTTGCTTCCAGGTTACCAAAGTGGATGCAGAAACCGAGCTTCAAACATACAGGCATTCCCGGCAAGGTCTAGACGAGATGTATAATGATGCCAGAAGGCAGCTTCGAGACGAGTCGCTGCTCCGACAGGTAGTGTAATCTTACAGTTACATTAGCAAAACTTGGGATGATTTATTCTCAGGCAACACCAATCAGGTGTCTCGGCCTTAGCCTCCTGGAGGTGGAGTAGAACCTGACACCCATGATACACTCTGACTGTTTTTGCATTTATTCTATGTTTGCATACATGCAAGGCACATGTGTGGAGGTCAGAGGCTTAACTTACCTGAGTCAGTTCTCCCTTCTATCGTGTGGTTCTTCTGCCACAGGGAATGAACTTGGCTCATCAGGCGTGGTGGTCAAGCTGCCCACTATTCTAGTCCTCTCTGTTACTGTGATAAAACCCTGACTGAAGTCTACGAAGTGGAGGAAAGGGTTGGTCACAGTCCTTCACTGGGAGAAGGCAGGGCAGGAGTGTAAGGCTGGAGCCTGAAGCTTGTCTGCTCACCCAGAGGTGCTCAGCTAGCTGAGGGAGCTGTACTACATAGTGGGTGGGGCCCTCGTCTATCAGCTAACTGTCCGGACATTCCCCTAAACACACCACAGGTGATTCTAGGCTGCACCATAAAGCTAAGTGACGTCTATAGAGCCATGCTGCTTTAAAAACACATGTCAATGTTTTCTATGGTTTGTTTTGTATTTTCTTTTGTGTGTGTGGGGGGGTTTCAAGGGAAGAGGGTGGATACTAGGGAAGATGAGTAGGACTCAAACCCAACCCTGGTGGTGGTGGTGCACAGCTTTAATCTCCAGCATTCGGGAAGTACAGGCAGGAGGATTTCTGTGAGTTTGAGGCCAGCCTAGTATACAATTCGAGTCCTAGGACAGCCAGAGCTGTTAGAGAAACCCTGTCTGAAAATCAAAACAAAACACCCACATCTCAGTATTTTTAAACTGAGTTACAATCTGTGGTTGTTAATGAGAATGCAGACCACCATCCCAGAAACAGTAAGAGAATAGAGTGGAATATATAAATGTTAGCAACATCCTATTTAAAACTTTAGATTTCGGCCAGGCAGTGGTGGCGCACGCCTTTAATCCCAGCACTTGGGAGGCAGAGGCAGGCAGATTTCTGAGTTTGAGGCCAGCCTGGAACTCTACAGAGTGAGTTCCAGAACAGCCAGGGCTATAAGAGAAACCCTGTCTAGAAAAACAAAAAACAAACAAAAAACCTTTAGTTTTCAAATGGTGGGACATACACAAGAATGAACACATAGTTTAATGAGGCAAAATGCAGATACTCATACCCATTGCCTAGGCAAAGAAGAGGCCACAGCAAGCCTTTCGGCACACTCTTCCTGTCTGTCTTTAACTTTAGGAAACGTCTTCATCTCATTGTTTTGTTTGACAGTGTGCTAGCTAGTTTTTGTTAACTTGACAAGAACTGGAGTCACCTGGGCAATATGGGCAGTACCATTCCAGGCAGGTGGTCCTGGGTGATGTAAGAAATAAGGCAGTCTGAGCAAGCCATGGGGAGCAAGTCAGCACTCCTCTATGGTTTCTGCTGTAGTTCCTGCCTTCAACTGATGGGCTGTAACCCTAAGCCAAATAAACTCTTTGTCCCAAGTTGCTTTTGTTTAGTGTATTGTCACAGCAATAGAAAGCAAACAAGCTGGGGGCTGGAGAGGTGGCTCAGAGGTTAAGAGCACCGACTGCTCTGCCAGAGGTCCCAGCAATTCCCAGCAACCACATGGTGGCTCACAACCATCTGTAATGGGATCTGATGCCCTCTTCTGGTGTGTGTCTGAAGACAGCAACAGTGTACTCATACATAACATAAATTTAAAAAAAAAAAAAAAAGCAAACTAGGACAGATGAAATCTTACTATGTAGCTCTGGCTGTCCTGGACCTTCTATGTAGAACAGGCTAGCTTCAGCCTCAGTGATCCTCCTGCCCCTGGCTCCTGAGGAGTGTAGATTGAAGGTATACAGCAGTAGGCCCAGACCTTGTTTTTGAACCAGACCTCACTGTATAGCCCAGGCTGGCCTTGAACTCAAAGCAATCCTCCTGTCCCATTCTCTTCAGTGTTGGGCCAACATGTGTGACCCACCCCCCAGGCAGGCTGATGTTCCGTTATAGACTTAAGCGGGACAGTGAATGTTCCCAGTCTTGTTAACCGCTGCACCTCTGACTTTGATAATCTGGAATTGAAGACATTGTGACATTGCAGGATGTGGAGAATGAGTTATCAGTACAAGTTGGCATGAAGCATGAGATCGAGCTGGCCATGAAGCTGTTGGAGAAAGATATTCACGAGAAACAAGATACTCTCATAGGCCTTCGGCAACAGCTGGAAGAAGTCAAAGCAATCAACATTGAGATGTATCAAAAGCTGCAGGTACACAATGATCTTTGACTCTCGGCATTGCTAGGAATCAAAACACATGGCTTCAGGCATGAGGGGCAAACACTGTACCACTGAGCCACCTCCATCTTGACTTTTGGTTATGAGACAGTGTTTCTTTATATATATATATATATACATGTATATATATGTACACACACACACACCCTTGGCTGTCTTGGAGTCCATAAACTGCCTCTGCCTCTCACGTGTTGAATTAAGTGTGTGCCACCACACCTGAATCCTTTCTCCTTTGAGATGGTCTATTTCTCTTCATTGTTGGGACAGAATACTTAAGGTAATTTAAGGAAGGATTTATTTTGTCTCACAGTTTGAGGGATAGTCAGTCATGCTGGGGAAGGCAGTGGTGGGAGTGGTTTGCAGCCTTGGCTACTGAAGCTGCTTGCTCACACAGGAAGAGTGGCCAGGCTCTCTGCCTCTTGTGACTCCTTCAGTGCTGAGATTACGCATGCTAAGATGCAGATGTGGAGGTCGGAGGATAGTCTGTCAGCCCTTTCCTTCCACCCCATTGTTTTGGGAGATGGAAGAAAGTCATCAGGCTTGCTGGCAGGTGCTTTACCTTCTGAGCTAGTTAGCCAGTCTATTTTGTTCCCCCAATACAAGACTTAGTTGACCTGGCAATAACTAATTTGTTCATTTCAGCAACAAATTCACAAAAATCCCCTCCCCGTGCTGAGATCCAACCCTAGGCCTCCTCATGTTAGGGACATCCTATCCACCCAGTCCCAAATCTATTTCCCCTTCTTCCCCCCTCTCCTCCCAATTGATTTTTAAATTTCACTATTTTTAAAAAATGTAGATTGTATGAATGTGTACCACATGCATGCCTTGTGCCCTTAGAGGTCCAAAGAGGGCATGGAATCCTCTGGAATGGGACTTGTAGATGGTTGTGAGCCACCATGTAAATGCTGGGGACCAAGCTGGGCCCTCTGCCGAAACAAGTCATCTTAAACCCGAGTCATCTCTCTAGTCTCTAATGTCGATATTTTATCTTTGAGACAGGGTCTCACTGTGTAGCCTTGACTAGTCTAGAACTTCTTAGACCAGGCTGGCCTTGAACTCAAAGTGATCTGCCTGCTTTTGCCTGTGCTGTGCTGGGCCTGTGCTCCACATCTGGCCCTCAGTAATCCTGTACTACATTTACTTATTGGGGTGTGTGCGTGTGTGTTCCACATGTGCGCGTGTTCCACGGTGTGGACATGTAGAGGTCAGGATACTGTGTGGAGTGGGCAGTCTTCTTTCATCATATGGATCTTGGGGATCCAACTTTGATTTTCCAGATTGGCAGCAAACACCTTTACCCACTGAATGATCTCACACTCAGTTCTTATTTTGAGACAAGGCTTCTTCTGATAGTCCTGGCCTTGTTTAGATTGCTGGCCCCTACCTCATTCAACTTAAATGTTAAATACAACCACCCTCCAGGCCCCAGGCAGGGTTTTTCGGGAGCCACCATGCTCAGTCCGTTATTTTTCAATCACCTTGAATTATGTTTCTTGTATTACTGTGAGCAGGCTGTGTATGTGCCTTGGGATGTGTGTGGAAACAGAGGAGTTTCAGGAGTAACCAACCCCTCCTTCCATCAGATGGGCTCCAGAGGTCCAACTCCACAGGTCAGCTATGTGGATCTTCTGATTCCCAGGCTGGCCTCAATGCCCCTGTGTAGTGAGGCTGGCATTGAACCCATAATCCTCCTACCTCTGCCTCCTGAGTGCTAGGACTCCAAGGCAAAAGTAACTATTCTTGGCCTAATGTTAGGTTTCAAAATCAAAACCACTATAGCTGTTTTGTTTTTCATAAATAGGGCTCTGAAGATGGCTTAAAAGAAAAAAATGAAATAATTGCCCGACTAGAAGAAAAGACCAATAAAATCACTACAGCCATGAGGCAGCTGGAGCAAAGGTACGATACTCACGAGTCTCTCCTTTCCCCTTCCTTTCTTCACCTCTGACATCTGCCACAGAAAGTTGTTAGAAAGACCTCACCTAGGGCCTATGTCTGCCAAAGCCAAGACAGGTTTTGTCTTTTTTTTGGTTGTTGCATGGAATCAAGTTGCTTTAGTTAGGGTGATTCACTTGAAGTTGCCTTTTTGGAGATAATTTAAAGGCACATTACATGTAGCATCTTGTCACAGATTACTGTGACATAAAACAAAGACCTGGAAAAGTGAAGCAGGGCTCAGAGGGACTGCCCGGTGAGACGCTGCCCGATCCTTCGACACTGGCGGTCTCCTCTCTGAAAGCAGCATGCAGTAACTGGAAGCTGCTTTCCCAAGGCAGGCTCTCATGTCAGTGGAGCTCTCTATCCTGGCCTCTTCATTTTACTGTTGGAAATCCTCCTGTATCCATTGCCCTGTCATGTTGAGTCAACATGTGTCACCATTGCTTTCTTTGAACCTACTTTAGGAGAAACATAACTACTGATGCTTTATGACACAAATATTCTTTTATTGACATCCTCTTTCTTCTTTTTTCTTCTTTCTTTTTGTTGTTTTCTTTATCCCCACTTTTACATTTTGGACATCTTTATTACTGTTTCTTGTCTTTGATTTCTGTCCATTCCATTATGAAGTGACAACGACTTGTTAACTCAAACTAGGACAATTGCAGTGTCACTGGTGAAAAGTGCTAGCAGTGACCCTCAGGACCAGTACAAGCTGGTCAAAGACATCTCCTTCTAAAATCCACTCCAAGAGCAGACCCCATACTCTCTCATGTTAAATGGAAAAGCATTAATGCTATTTCACATGTACAGGCTGCAGGGAACCCTTCACAGCTGCTGTGAGACACGGCAGGTCCACTGGGCGGGCTCGTCACACGCACTCCTCAGCCTTGTGCACAAGGGCAGATCTGAATCCCACCTTCGAGGATGGCAAGATTTTCAAAGTTTTATCTTTTTAGCTACCTTTTGATGGAAGCTAGAAACCTTTGGTTTCAAGCTGTGTTGGCACAGATAAAACATATACCCACACCCACTGGCGTATTTTCTGCCTAATGGCTCCTTACTGATTTCTAAGTTTTTAAAGCAGTTCTCAAGCCAGGCTGGCCTTTGCCCTGGGCTTTAGCACCTCCGTTTTCTAATCCTCCCGCCCTCTTGTGATAGCACAACTGCAGGCCTACCTCACTTACTTTACTTCCTGTAACCTTAGAAGAGAGCCAAGTCCACACCCCTACCGCCTTAATCCTTCCATTTCAATGTAGACCTAGAGGTAACTGACTTCCTCTCCTTTCCTTGGAGGCTTTTATACTCGCAGTGTGTGTTGCCTTACTTAGGGTGTTTGAGGCAGATATGAAGATGCAAGGGTTCTCTTGTGACTTCTTGTGAAGAGTTACTGTCCCTTGAATTCTGAGAAATATTTTCTTATAAAATATTGAAGATAAACCTCAGAAATCTTGATGGCCAAGGGAGGCAAGGAGTGTAGCTGATCCTGGGGACAAACAGTGACTTAACAAAAACAGGAAACACGACATTGAAAGCAAATCTTTAAGATTCAAGCTAAAGAATAAACATTGTGTTTAGGGGGCTGGAGAGATGGCACAGTAGTTAAGAGCACGTGTTCTTATAGAGGACCTGGGTTCACTTCCCAGCACCCACATGGTGTGGCTTACAACTGTCTATAGCTCCAGTTCTACGGGGTCTAACATCTGCTTCTCACCTCTGTGGGCACCAAGCATATATGTGGTGCATAAACATACATGCAAGCAAAACATTCATAAATGTAAAACAAATATCTAAAAAAACTCTCTCTAGGGAATGATGCCAAGCACTAAATATTTTTGAATCTTAAAAATATACATATACACATACATATACAGCTTTGCATAATTAAGCAACTGCACAGAGTTCTGCTAGGAAGGCTCCATTGCTGAGAGTGACTTGCTCTTTGCTCTCGGTCTTGTGGTGCACTTGATTCCTGGCACACAGATCTTAGCGTCACATCCAGCAGGTGTGTTCTGCACTTCCTGTAGACCCAAGTGTGCCGCTCATGGCTTTGTAAAAAGGCAGTATCATACCTAGCCATATTTGAGATTTGAATCATTATCCTATAACAGTAAAAAACTGTATTGCTTTGCATTAATTATGAACAAGAAATAAAGCAAATTTAAAGATAGTTTTCTGGGCATATTATATCTTATATTGAAAAAAAAAAAGCACAAAACAATTTCTAGACATTGTGTGGCTCTTTCACGTTTGAGTTTGTGAGTTCTCCTCCAAACTTTGTTTTCATTTAGAAATGTTTCTATTTCCCCATTTTTCTTTTATTTGTCTTCTTCACCTTTTACACCCTAGTTCTAGCCTCAGTTTTACCCAAAGTTGATTTGAATTACACCAGATTGCAGCAAGCAGAGAAGGCGCAAATGGAAGCTGAAGCCGAGGATCAGAAATCTGCCCAAGAGTGTCTGAGCAAGTCCGACAGTCTGCAGAGACAGATCTCGCAGAAGGAGCAGCAGCTGTGAGTGTTTGGTCTCGGAATCAAATCCTTGTACTAACATGGTCTCTGCTAGCCAGTACAGGCACCTGAAGAAGGTGTGTTGGATGCTCGTCATGGCTCAGTATGGAAAGGCAGTTACCAGCAAGCCTGAGTTCAATCTCCAGGCCCTATGTGCTGGACGGAGAGAAACTGACTCCTGTAGGTTGTTCTGACTTACAAACTCCTGCACATGTCCCAGCTCCTCACACAAAATACATGTCGTTTTTAGAAAAGCAATTGGGTTAGAGATGTCGTTCAGTCCCTTAGCATTGGTGAGGCCCTGGGTTCAAACTACACACACACACACACACACACACACACACACACACACACACACACA